ATAATCAGTAACAAAGTAATTTTATTTTGGTGGGAAAATTAGGTGTACAGCATAGAATAACAATATGCATTTATAAAACCACTAAATTTTTTCAGGAAGAAATATTTTAAAAGGCAGTATAGAAAAGTGATTTCATAACACCTGGAGTAAAATCCTGGTTTCACCATTTACTATCGGTGTGACCTTGAGCAGTTCAATAATCCCCTTCAATGTCCGCATCTTATAGTGGGGAATATGTAATGTTCCAACAAATCCACTGATCTGCAGAACTGCCTAACATTTATTTACTTATTTATCAATATAAACACATATTACTTACTATATATGGATATATATTATATTAAATATATTTCATAACATCAAATTTTATTAGAAAATTAAATATGTAGTAGCAGAGAGTTCAATGTATGTCAAGAGCCCGACCCTACTGAGGCTTCATAATAGTAACTGTTACTGAGGTCAATAATAATTTAAAAATCCAAGAAAAATGAAACACTATCAGAAAAAAATTAGTTTCTCAAAGAATATAACAAAAAGCAGTGAAAGACAAAGCTCATTCTACATCATCTGCAGCAATTTCCTATCTATGAATGTAAAAGCGATACAAATTAACTCCAGCCATAAAATACAAACTAAACTTATTTAAATCTCTTGATTGTAACTAATGGACTTTAATAAAGAAGTTTTACACAAGACATATATTTTGAACTTTATAAAATTTCTGGCAGGACCTGGCCAGGGTGGCTCAGTGGCTGAGTGTTGACCTATGAACCAGGAGGTCACGGTTCTATGCCTGGGGTTCGGGATTACCGGCTCAATCCCCAGGAGGGAGCATGCAGGAGGCAGCCAATGAATGATTCTCTCATCATTGATGTTTCTATTTTTCCCTTCCTCTCTGAAATCAATAAAAATATTTTTAAAAATTACTTAAAATTCTGGGCTGGGAGTCTATCTTAATACTAATATTTAAAAATTACCCCAAATACAACCCTTATAATACATAAAATCACAATACAATAGACAAGTCTAATCATACTATGAATCAGTGAACTTTTATAACAAAGCCAAACAACCCAGATCAGAAGAATCTGATTCAAGTGAAAAGTTTACCCAACCTAATTTATCTTATAGTCTAGGACAGTGATGGCGAACCTATGACACGTGTGTCAGAGGTGACACGCGAACTCATTTTTTTGGTTGATTTTTCTTTGTTAAATGGCATTTAAATATATAAAATAAATATCAAAAATATAAGTCTTTGTTTTACTATGGTTGCAAATATCAAAAAATTTCTATATGTGACACGGCACCAGAGTTAAGTTAGGGTTTTTCAAAATGCTGACACGCCGAGCTCTAAAGATTCGCCATCACTGGTCTAGAACATAGATCCATATTATAAAGACCTGCTAACTTAGGAAGAAATTAATCAACCATTAATAGTAAATCATTGTGCCAATTTTTCCTACTACATTAGAATTAGAATATGCACACTGTTCAGTTTGGTTCTGTCAAAGGAAATTAATTTAAACACCTTTTATAATATTAAAAACACAGATACAATACAGGAACTAAACTCAGGTTAGTATATACAACCCAGTGTTGGGATTACAACTGTACAAAGGCTGATTTTATAACATACCCCAAAGCTTCTGTATCCAATTAAGTCTTACTCCAACTTTCCTGAATGCAGTCATTACAGAGACCTATTCCAATGTCATTTTTGCTAAACACTTTAGAAGCTTGGGGCACATTTTTTGTCAAATATGTTTAATTGTAGCAAATTTTAAATTCTCTGAGAACAGCTATGATTTATGAGAAGAGACAACTGTTATTGAGAACTACTTCTGGCAAAACAGACCAAGCTAAATAAGCTTCTGGTTTATTTTTTTAAAAAAGGAGGGAATTGACTATAAAGATGTTTAATAAGGTTAGTTTTCTTAAAAACTATACAGGCAAATTTAAAATGGGAATTCCAAGCTTTTGAGAAGCAACAGTATCTAGGTAATAAGAGTATATTCCTATACAATGTTCTCTACTATGTTAGTTCTCTGTAATCTCCGAACAGTCCTGTACTTAGCACATCTACACAAAGTTCTTCTTAGTAGCTTAACTGTGGTTCTGATGTTTTTTACTAGCTGTTCATGAGTTTGAATGTTACAGTACTATTATCAAACCATTAGCCATTCCTTTAGCTTCAACATACCCAATGACTACTATCACAATTAAGGAAGGCCCAGAAGAAAGAATATTCAAAATGATCAACTTCAATTTGTAAGGTTATTATTAAAACTTACTTAGACACTACTACATTATGTGTGTATGGGATCTTCCTTTTTTAAGTTTAATACAGCTATATATCTACTCTCACATTAGTCTACCTCCAGTTCAGACACATTATAGAAAACTAAATTACAGGAAAACACCACATTTATACCATATACAAGGATAAAAGAAAAATATAAGACATAAATCATCAATAGCATAAAATAAAATTTTGCCAAAAAGCTACTTTTTCATTACACAACTACAGAGTCCTAAGGGGCAAGACCATACAATTTATACACTTTCCCACACAAGAAACTAACACAGGCACTTTGAGAATGTTACAGTATAATTACAAAATGACACAGGTTAATATTTAAGGAGAAATCAAGCCTCTCAAAATAAAATAAATATTTATAAGCTTCAGTTTCTGTTATGTTAAACATTAAAGAAAGGTCTTGGAACTTAAAAGGAAATGTAAAAACAAAGATGACCTAGTTAAAAGAATTCCTGATACGTTTTATTCTTTCAAGGGACCTTTTACCTAATAAATGATAAAGACTGTGGTTTGTGGTTTTAGTTTTCTTCCCAGTTCCAGAAATTGACTGATTCCTTTTGTAGTATTTACTTTTCTCTTCCCATCTGTCCCCCAAACCTGCTTTGGATGTCTTTTGTAAAATTTTTCAAGACAGGGAGTGAATTCAGTTCATGAATTGTTGAATAAAGAGTTAAAATGACAGTATCATACAACTATCCTGACTCTCTTTAAAGTAATATTAGTCTTCTAGAATACCGATCTAATTCTTAGAAGCAGAAAACACAGGAAGCTCAGTGTTCCAAGAAAAATTAATAGTAACTGATTCATCCTGGCTACCCAGGAAATACACAGCAAGGATCTTGTTCTATGTAAATACTGACAACAAATCTGTCTAGTAATGCCTACCACCCAAGGATAGGAAAACAGAAAAAGAGCTCATGGAACAAATGCACAATGACTAAAAAGTACAGAAAGAAAACACAATTTGGAGATGAGAAGAAATCAGAGCTAGATGAAACACATGACAGATCAGTGAGCTATCGAGATAGAAGTAGACTGAGGTGGTGGAAGAGAAGAGATCACCACTGACAGGAGATGAGAGTGGAATGTAGGTGGACAGGAAGCAAAGTGGACAGAGGTGAGGGGTAAGACAGGAAGAAGCTAGAAATGACAGGAGCTGAATTACAAAAGACAACAACAAAAGCAGGGAGGTAGCAGACCAGGAAGGAGGCAGGCCAGGGAAATAGAGAGTAGTAAAGAGAATAGAAAGTATTTTCAATGGGAGGCTGAATCATGGAAAAGGCAAGAAGTAGGCAAAATGCAAAAATACCAAACAAGAAATTATGAACAGACAAGAAAAAATGTAAGCAGAAAAGAGTAGAAAGAATTGAAGGGATGAAGTAAAACAGGCGTACTGAAGGAAAAACATATTTTTTAAAAATTGTTTCTGAAATTTCACTTTATTAAATTTTAAAATCTGTTCTTTTGCTTATATTTCTTTGTTGGGTAAAACTTGATACATAAGAATAAAGGTTTCCTCAACTTACAGAGAAGAAAATTTTTTATGTGGTCAACTGACTTAACTGCAAAAAGTAAAAAGAGCTGAAAAATATAAAAATTATCTTAGCTCTAACCAACAAACTAATTTTCATACCAATACATTAATGACCTTAATGACCAAAATGCTACATTTGTTAATCACAAAAGCTTTCTCTGTCTGACTCTGTGCTTATTAGTCAGCATTTGGAGAGATCCCCACTATACAGGAAGTTTGATGGACGTTTAAAACAAGGTTAAAACCATAACGGTTAAGATATGCTATAAATTTTCTGTAAATTTTCACTACCCATTTATCCTAGGTAACTGAAAACAGAACACAGATGAACTGAAAACAGTTCATCCTTCATTTCCACTTAGAAACAGTAAAGAAAACAAACATTAAACAAGAACATAAAAATAGTAAAGAACAACAACTCTGAAAAAGAATGGCAATTGCTCTATTCTTGACCCTTGAAAATAACCTAGGGGAAAGAGCAACCATACCAAAGGTTTATTTGTGGGGATATAATTCTTATTTTTACTCTGAAAAAAACAAGTCAACAGATCTTAAGTCCAAAAAATTGTGCAAAATAAAAGGAGGCACACACAGAGGCTGAGAATAGATAGAGATGAATCTAAAGTCGCAAAGACTGAGACAGAAGCACATCATATGAAGAAGCAATTCATCAACATCCTGCACTTTTAGTAATTATTCAGTGAAAGTCAACTTCTAGAGGCCAACATCCCAATAAATTGCTCCTATTTCTCCTATTATATTTATTAGTTCTCTATCCACACAGAATAAAACTCTGATCTTAAGTAGGTTCCTAACTATAGCAGTAGAGGAAAATAACTCAAATATTATATGCAAAAGCAGATGCGTTAACAAAGATAATTTAAGAAACATGTAAAGAAATATGCTAGCGTCTTGTCACTTATATTTTCAAAACTATCTTCTTTTGGCTGCTCAAAAATCCTAAATGACATGGGGGGTCACTTCTTGAAATCTGCCATGTCTTCAGCTTTTTACCATTCTTCCATGAATATCTTAATGAGTCTCTTGGCCATATAGTCCACTCACAGGCATCTGATATCATTATTTACTTTTAGAAATAGTTGCTGCTCCACAGGATTTAGCAGACATCTTCAAGAAGAAACAAACCTGGTTCTTTGGTCTCTATTGGGGACATGCTGAAACTAGGATTCTCTCTCATACTCAAAGAGAACATGGGAGTCGAATTGTGCTGTTTCCAACGTAAGATGCCTTAAAAACAAACAAAGTTAAAAGTCAACCACATTTTAAAACACAAAACTAAAAAAATCAGTGCAAATTCTCACACATTTCTGGCTTACATTTTAGCTAAGATGAAAAATTAAGTAATTCAAATAAAAAATTTAATCTCTCACTTCAACTTTAAATATACTGTATTTTCCCCAAAATTTAACAGGGTATCTCAGGGTATACAATAAAAATACTTCAAATAATTGAAAGTTCCTAAAATTAACTTAAAAAATCAGTTGAAATTGTAGAGAAATTCTGGTGATTGATATTTGAATTTTACCATGGCCAGGATAGAAGATGGGCTTTGAGAAAACACTATTTCTCTACATTCATATCTTACTTGGAAATGTTATGAACAAGCCTGGGTTATACAGAGCTGTAAAATGGGCTACTAAACTGATGACCTAGAAAATTTCTCCCAGACATGAAATTACATATTATCTGGTGATAACATTTGGTACTACCAAACCAGCTATAGGCAAGTCATCTGACTTTGCCCTGATTTTCTTATCTATAAAATACAGGGCTGGTTCTTACAAGGGCAGGTGGTTTAAAATACAGGTGCTTAAGCCATGCTCCTGGGGTTAGGCGAAAACATGATACTTTTACAATAAAGCCTGGGTCATTCTGACGTATACTCCTACATAGAGAACCACCACCCTAGATCATGTTCGGGATCCAGTTCTACAACCCTAACATCCATAAAATGGGGGTACACATTTCATTAAATTATCCAGCTTGATAGGTTTAAAATATGAATCAGTGAATCCCCTTCCTTGTGAATCCCCTTCCTTTTCCTACCCCCCCCCCCCCCCGCCGCCCCTTAGAGAAGAGCCTGCAATTAAGACTCATATGCCAACTGGATAAAAATTTAAATACAGATTTTAAACCAAATTTTCCAAATTATTTTCTCAGGGATTTAAACAGAACAGGACTGTGGGACAATATTCATAGTTATAAGTTGTTTCTATGACAGGCCATCCCAAAACATGTGCTGATGTTAAAATGACAGCAGCATACATCATTTCTTCATGGACTCAACGTCATGACTTCCTACCCAGCAGGAGTGATCTGTAACACAGAATACTATACCTGCAGAGCGTGTGTCCTCCCTGGCTGCTAACCAGGGTTGTGGCCCATGCTTCATTCAAGGGCACTTGCTCCTCTGATTCCTCAGCTCTGGGTCGGGTGATGTATGTATTCCCCTATCTGTGCAGTCATTTAGAGCCAGTGACTCTGTTGATGCCCAACACCCCCAAAATAATATTGTCAGCTCCCGACAAAGGGATACAAAACTAGGCTTTCAGAGAACACCATTTTTCTTCATCTTGCTGGATTTTGTTTGTGGGCTCTCATCTAATTCCACGTGGCTTCAAAATGACTTCACTCCAGGTTTGTTAACAAATCAATGGCATAATTTTATGGTGGTTTTTTTCCCACCAAAGAAATATAACTTGGTTTGAAGAGGCTTCTTGGCCCCAATAATGTACTCTATTGCCCAAGACAAGCTGAAAAAATGGATCAAGATTTGACACAACAAAGCAAATGGACAGACATGCACAGGAAACCATCAATAACACTCACATTCTGGTAAATTACTACTGCTAGCGTGTAAATCTAGTAAGTGTTTTAAAGAGAAAAACAGTAAGATAGCAAGTGTCTTTAATATTACTTTATTTCACATTAGTTTTCTGACACTAAATAAAGGTCACTGTTCTATGTCCTGATGAATTACTGTTTCAGAATTCCATACCTAAAGAGTTACATTTAATCCTCACTCAGTTCTGAGATTCAAAATTTAGTTTCTCATTTCAAAATACAGTGTCCTCTTAAACCACTTCATTATCAACCTCTGCTCTCTGGAAAATGCAGCATTATTTCTGCAGCTCAGAGTCACAGCAATCTTTTATGCTACCTTGAACTTTTACAGCTGAGAAGGTAGTGTCAACTTTTAGATGTCTCTTCTGTCTTTGGTAAAGTAAAACTCCGCAGAGGAACCACACCAACTCAGAGCTAGACTGCCTGGTTTCATATCCCGTCTCCCTACTTACTACTTGCGTTGTGATATTTGGCAAGTGACCTAATTACCTTGCTGTGCCTCCATTTCCTCATTTGAAAAATGGGATTATAATGAACCTATTTCAAAGAATTGTTGTGAGAGTTAAATAAATTAACATGTAAAGGTGCCTAGGGCAGCATCTGGCACATTTAAAACCCTACATAAATGTTAGCTATTACTTTGTTTTATTTAGCTCCAAATTATCATGCTGTTTCACGTACACAATGTATCATGCTGTACACAATGTTTGCCCAACTAAACTACTACCAACTAAAATAAACAGCTAACATTCAAAGGCTCATCATGGTCTGTGGACTCTGTGGAGAGGGTAAGACGGGTGTGTTCCTACCCCTAATGGTGAGTGGGACCTTCACTAGCGGAAAGAAAAGATTCCAATATATTTTTGTTCTTTTCACAAATATTTACTCAGCACCTTCCACATGCTAGGCTCTGTTCTAGGCTCTGGGCATATGGCAATGAGTGACACAGAGAAGGTCCTTGTACTCTGGAAGCTTAAAGGGCACTCCATGTGAGAGCCAAGTTTTGAAAAAAGGAATCAGAAGGACTTGTCTTCCAATCTGATGAAACACAACATTGCTTAAATGCCTTATAAGCAGGAGCCAATGCTGGCATATGGGTCACTCCAGCTTTCTAACAATGACAGAACATACAGAAATGGCTGCAAAGAAAAATTCAGTAACTTTCCATGTAATATACTCTAAGTATCTTCCATTGGTTATGAAGCACATTAAAGGGATAGTCTCCATATTTCTGGTATATAAATAACATATAACACATACACTCAATCATATTTGAACGGTTTTCATAATAAGAAGCTGTGAAGGTCCAGCTCCTAAATTTTGTCCAAATATATCCTATTTGCTGTATACCCTTGTGCTTTGTTCCCCCCACACCTTTCCCTTCTTTACTTTATCTCCAAGTGGCTGCATACAAATATCAAGTAACTATGAGGAAAGTGCCTGAAGATGCATGTGGTGGCAAGAGTCAGTTAGACACAATGGAGCATTAACTCCAAAACATAACACATGCATCTTTTTCTTCTTACATCCTCCCATTGATGACAACTCTCCACTCATCCCTTCCCCAAACAGAATGCCTTTAGTTAAAGGAACCCTCTTATAAACACTAACTGGCAAAGCATTCTCAATCTTTTCCTCGCCAATGATGGTCCACTAGAATCAGAAGATAGGTAAAGTCCAATATGCTCTAATCACAAATATGACACATTTTCAAATACTTCCCTTATCCTTTCCAGTCTTTTCAACTACTACTACTCTCACAAGATACAAACTGTTAGGTCCCACCATCATTCTCATCATTGTTATCTATGTATATAAAAGCCTACATGACTGTTATGACCTGTCCACCACTCAACCGGTCGACCAGTCACTATGATGAGCACTGACCACCAGGGGGCAGATGCTCAATGCAGGAGCTGCCCCCTGGCTCCCGCAGCCAACCTCCCATGGTCCCTCCCCCGAGCCAGATGCCTCGATCGCCCCATCAGTCCCGATTGGGATTGGGCAAGACGGTCCCCACCCGTGCATGAATTCGTGCGCCGGGCCTCTAGTGTCTACATAAATCATTAGATTGTATCTGTGGAAACACAATCAAAATAAACTTCTTGCTTAAGGAAGTCAAAACTGCTTAATTAAATCCAACCAAAAACTTAATGCAATAAAGTACTGGATTCAACACTGAATATGTTTAAGATATTTCATGACAATCTGAAATATTAGGGAGAACCCCTGCAATGTAGATAATATAACATTCTTAACACTCATATACCCATGAATGTTAGACTTATTAACAAAGCAAAAACCAGCCCACTGTTTTTCATTTCCTTGGTTTGGTATTGGAAAATTACTCTTCCTGTTTCATTGTCATTTGTTAATCCTTAATTAGGAATGTCACTTAGAAACTAAATATGGAAAGAAGCCTTTCGGAAAGGGCCATTACTTTCCCAATGTTTACTTTTTTCCAATGTCCGAGTGACAATGATACATAATGGGAATTTGGATAAATAAAGAGATACAGGGCTTTGGAAACTACTGAATACTCAAATAAATGGACTAATTGCAGTTCTATACAATTTTAAAGCCATCTACCACCTTGAAAAGCACATTAATTTACTCTAGGAGTCATTTTATATTGCCAACACCCTCATTTTACCAAAGCGGAAACAGTAGTAACCAATGTATATATTCCACATTTGGGCACATTCAAATCAAATTCATGTATTCAAATACTTTTGAGCAACCTATGCTTATGCAAAAGTTATCCTGGCAGACTAAATGTGATAAAACATGTAGACCACTTGGCACAGGCCTGGCAAACAATCATTACTCAACATTGCTCATTAATACTGTTTCTAATTTTCCAACTTTTTAGTAACCTACATGGTTGTAAAATTATATGATTATGCATATATATAACATGTATAAGCTAACATGCATTAATACTATACATAAAGCCAGTACGTTAGTGTAAAGTATCGCTATTCATCTAGAGACAAAGTTTAACAGTAGCAAAATGATCCACAAAGCAGCAGAGAACACTTCCTAAGGGGTAGTGTTAAATATTAGCTCTTATCTCTGTTTATCAATTGAGAATACAACCTCTACATGGTCTAGCATGAATTATAATTAGCAGTCAGGTGATCCTAGAGAACTAGCTCAAAATGAATAGTTAAGACCTCAGCGCGTGGACAAGTGACCATTTATTTGCAAGGCTGCTGCACCAACCACTGAAGTCTGCTAACTTCCAAACACTGGAATCCTACAGAAATGCACTGCCTGCCTCAGGCTAGAAAATATATTTTTCAAGTCCCTACAACACACATTTTTAAGAATATCTACAGTGTCACTATCACAGCATCCAGCTTTTCATAGCACTTCAACAGTCTCGGCCACACCTCATTTATGACCATCGGGAAAATGGAAAGATAGTTTGGAGAGCACAGGCTTTCTTATTAAATATTTAGGTAAATATTAAAAGTAACCCTACGCCCTCATTAGGGAAAAGAAAACCTGTGTTTCCCAGCCTCGTCTCGATCCGTGGCACAAAGCACATTCCCCCTCCCACGCCGCGAGTCACACCCGGGGCGCGCCGAGGAGGGGCGGGGAGAGGCAGGGCGCTCCGGGGTAGCGACCTGGCACCGCTCCTTCCCGCCGGCTCTCGCACGCAACCGCTAGGCTAGACCCACGTGGACCTCCCGGGCCGGGGCGCCGAGACCCACGCCCACTGGCAGTCCGGTCGCCCCGGGGGGGGCAATCCCGGGGGGGGGAACCGCAAGTGGTCGGTGGCCGCGGCCCCGGGGACC